CTGATAGCTTCGCACATTAGCCAGAAGGAGGCGCTCTGATAGCTTCGCACATTAGCCAGAAGGAGGCGCTCTGATAGCTTCACACGTCAGCCAAAGGGAGGCGCTCTGATAGCTTCACACGTCAGCCAAAGGGAAGCGCTCTGATAGATTCGCACGTTAACCAGAAGGAGGCGCTCTGATAGCTTCACACCTTAGCCAAAGGGAGGCGCTCTGATAGCTTCACACGTCAGCCAAAGGGAGGCGCTCTGATAGATTCGCACGTTAGCCAGAAGGAGGCGCTCTGATAGCTTCACACCTTAGCCAAAGGCAGGCTCTCTGATAGCTTCGCACGTTAGCCAGAAGGAGGCGCTCTGATAGCCTTGCACATTAGCCAAAGGGAGGCGCTCTGATAGCCTCACACATTAGCCAGAGGGAGGTGCTCTGATAGCTTCACACGTTAGCCAGAGGGAGGCGCTCTGATAATGTCACAGATTAGGAGCCCATTGGAACTAAATTGGGGCTGAAGTGCTGATCTTTGCCGTTTTTCTCCATTTGAACAAGCCTCCATCACTGTACTGGTCTCTCGCCTCCCTCCCTCTCCCCACCCCGCTCACGCCATGCTTACCACTGACGCCTGGAATGGACGTGAACCCATTACGTGTCCGTGTCCTGTTCTTGGATTAGTGGATGTTTCCGTGGCTGTCAGACACTCCTTGCCTTTCCCATCTTCCTCTGTCCTACTTCTGTGTTTTCCTCCTCATTTCCCGTGTCTCCCCGTTCTCCGAACGCCTCTCTGCCTGGAACAGTCGTGCTACCTTTCTCTGCACCTGCTCCTCCCTTCCTCACCTTACGTAATGGGATCCCTTAATTCACAGACAAAAGGGTTTTGCTCATTTTATTGGTTTTCAAACCTTTAAATCCAAGTCAAGTTAAATCCAGTTATTGTTATCTAAGCACAACCAGTAGTGGGGCTGTGAATTTGGAATCGTGCGTGATTGGCTGATACGGGTTACCCCCATGTTCAGCGGTCATTTTTTTCGAGGCGTGAGATGGGAAGAACATGCACGGTGTTCTGTGTCTGCTGTGAACCACTCCGGACCTCCAGTCCAGGTACCCCCTCCACTCTATTCCACACCCCCGCCATCCCTGTCTGCATCTCACACCCCCTCCCTGTCCCCATCCAACACCCCCCTCCCTGTCCCTGTGTTGTATCACCATCCCTGTCCCCATCTCACTGTATGAGACTCCCCATGTAAGACTCTCTGTGTGACAGAGTGTCTCTGACCTGATCATCATCTGCCTTTAATAAATGAGGAAATTAAGCTCTTGGCTTCAGTGGAGATGTGGTAGGAATGTCTCAGGTAAGTGAAGGGTTTGGGATGAGACACTGCTGGCTTGCTGGATTGTAACACAGGCTGGCATAGAGGTGTAATATAAACCCCAAGGCTAAATTCTCCCAGCACACCAAAGAGAGAAATGCTGCAGTGATCTTTTCCTAATATAAAGGCTATTGACAGAATCACTATATGGCTATGAAGATGTAGCATTTTTAGTGGAAAAGGAGATCAGTGAAAGAGCGGCAAAGCAGATATTCAGCATTTCACATAAGGCTTGTTAGTGCGTAATTCTGCACCATCTGCTCTCTGCTGCAGCTTTGAATTTTAAACAAAATTAAAAGTGTATTCCTGTAATTTGGTCATTTGCAGGAAAGCTTTAAGCCATGTGGACGCGTGGTGCTTTTTTTCCACGCTGCTGTAGGGCCAGAAAACTTACAGCTTATCTGAAGACATTTTTCATGAAAAGGATCGAATGTCCTTCCTATAACTAAAGATGGAAAAAGATCACCCTGAGGCCTTAACATTGTGATTTAAATAACAGTACACGCTGTGAAATGTGACATAGTCATTCGCTGGCCTGCTCCCCCATTTACACCCTGAACTACTCCGTAATGGGCAGGCAGAGTGGGAGTGCGCTGAGTCGGACCTCTGGGTGCTTTTAGGTACGTATTTCATTATGTCCATGAGTCTAACATCTCATCACCATGTGACCCATCCACTAAGAGACCCATAAATTAGTGAATTAGTGAACACGCCCCCCCCCCACAGCACAAGGAACCCAGCTGCTATCTGAGGTACGTGCTGTGATCAGCCCCCCTCCCGACACCCCCTGGAGTGGTGTCATTGCTACTGACATCCACCATGCCCTCCCTCCCCCTCCCTTTGATTGCAGAATATCAACCAGCTGGAGCTGTTTGGAGACATGTCCACCCCCCCGGACATCACCTCTCCCTCCGTAAGTCACTCCAGTCCACAGTGACCTCCTCAGTCCTTCAGAGGCACTAACAGCTGCTAAATGACCCTCGGTTATGTGTTATGGGGTAAATGGGGGCAAACTGAGGGACGCTAATCCTCCTCACAGACGCCTGCTTCTCCGGCCAACACCTTGGACCCCTCCCTGACCCACCAGCCCCCGTCGGAGCTCTTTGCCCCCTTCAACCCTGCATCCGTGCCCTCAGGTAACCGTATTGTCATGCTTGTGGTGCTGCTGTTTCACCACTGCCACCCACAATGGCCTCAGAACATAACATAATGCGCAGAGTAGTGACTGCAGTTACTACAGCACAGTGTGAGTGTAGTAATTACAATAGGAGTATGGGCCGTTACTACAGCACAGGCCGAGGGCTCCGTGAATGAGTGTGAGTGTAGTAATTACAATAGGAGTATGGGCCGTTACTACAGCAGGGACTGAGGGCTCCGTGAATGAGTGTGAGAGTAGTAATTACAATACGAGTATGGGCCGTTACTACAGCACAGACCGAGGGCTCCGTGTATGAGTGTAGTAATCACAATGCAAGTATGGGCCTTTACTACAGCACAGGCAGAGAGCTCTGTGAATGTGCTCCTCGTATAAATATAGTAATCATCACATTATGAATATGGGCCGTTACTGAAGTTACATTTCTAAACATGTATCAAGAATCCTTGCATTTGTCCCCTTCTCCAAGTGTGAAACTATTTAGTTATCAGTTATACGTATAATCAATAATTGTAATTTGTTATACATTTGAGTTTATTATTAGTCTTAATAATAGAATTATTTGTGATTAATATAGTTTAAAATTTCTTAAATGTGATCTATTTCTTAGATTTTATGAATTCACAGCAAAATTGTTTTGTAAAATTTTACATTGAATTACTTTATTAGTTAAACCTAGTGGATGGGGCTTGCTGGAAACCTTTTTATTCCAGGAATACTAACTGTCCCAATATTGTAGCTGAAAAACACCAGAAAAGGTGACAGAATCAGCAAAACACCAGCAGTGTGGAAAAAAATGGCACGCGTTTGTAGCATGTGCAGACAAAACCACATGAAACAAGCATCGTTGTGATTGGTGGATAATGACACCTCTGACCGGAAAACATTACAAAGTTACAAAAGTGAATTTTGTGGCAAAGTATCCAATGCGGGAGAAGGTGCTGGTGTAAATTCACCAATCACACGATCTACACGGTCATTTTGGCATCACCCACACCCCCCTAGTGACATCACTGGTGCAGAGTGGCAGCTTAGGGAGCGTCACTAAAAGGGAGGCATCTCGCTCCTCCTCAGTGCTGCCTGGGTCGGTCCCCTTCTCTTGTGTAGTCTGTCGTTCAGGGTCTCCCTGCCGTCTTCCCCGCTAAGTTTATGCAAAAGCGACTGCCCGGGGGGGGGTACGTGAAGGTCATCCCTCTTTTTCGTTCTTTACGTTTCACATTTTAATTAACTGGACCCTGTCCCCGTTAGACGCCCCCTTTGGCTGCGGGGCCCCGCCCTGCCTCTGAAGCGGGCCCCAAAGCAGCGTTTATTCATATTCATGCGCCAAGGCGACTCCCACATCAAACACCTGAGAGCCGCAGCCGTTGCTGGAAATGCAAACAGAGTTTAATTGAAACGCCACGTATCGTGCAGGTTATCTTGGTGCCACTCTATATGCAAATGGAAACACGTTAGTACATTAGTCATTTTACTGTAAAATGCCGGCGCGTCGCTAGCCAATCTGCCAAAATAAATATCCTATAGGCCCCCTTATGTAATGCGATTAGCCGTAGCGTCTGGAGTTGCCAGTGTTCGGGGGCTTAAATTGAGTTGGTCTGAACAGATTTCATCCTCTTCTCCAGCCATGAAAATCGCAGCATCTAATTTTCATATACAACTTTAATTTACAGGGTTTCCTGTGTTTGCCGTAGGGTGAGCAGCCGAGAGACTGTGTTTTTTTCTGACCCTCTGGCATGTCCGCACGCAGGCTGTCAGGACTGCAAGCCATTTTCACTGGGGCTCTAAAAGGGTCTTTAATGGCCAGTCTTTGCAAGAATAACACAGAGCCGATGTGGGCTGTGTGTTTTGACACTTGAACTTTTTAGGAAGATTTGCTTTCCAGTGCTCCATTCGTCATATCGTTTTAGTTTTATTGCGTTCAAATTGTTTTTTTTTTCCGTCTATAAAAAGCCTGTTCAGTCTATAAACAAGATATTAGCAAAATATTTGCTCAAATAAATACAAGTGTTAATGTTAACATTTAAAAAGTGTTATTAATAATGATAATAATAACAAATGACTGGGTCATGCTTGCCCACTCTTGCCCCTCCCCCCGTTGCCTAGGTTACGTCACCATGGGAGCCGTCCAGCCTGCCCACTGGGGCCAGCAGCCATTCGCCGCCCAGGGCCCGCTAGCGTTCGGCATGCAGCCCCCTGTGCCGGTGGCTCAGGTCATCCCCGGAACCCAGCCGGTGATCTGGGGCCAGCCCAGCCTATTCCCTGGCACCCAGCAGCAATGGGCCACCATGGCGGGCGCCTTTCCCCCTGCTGCCTTCATGCCGACGCAAACTGTGGGCCCGCTGCCGGCGGCCATGTTCCAGACGCTGGCGCCGGTGGTGGCCGTGCCCCCGTCCTGCGAGCCCCCGGCCGCCGCCGCCGCCTCCAGCCCCCCGCATGCCGACCGCTCCCGGCAGAAGGTCGGCAAGGAGATGTTCAAAGACTTCCAGGCGGCAAAGCTGGCGCCGGTGGCAGGGGGGCGCAGGGGCGAGCAGGCCAGCCTGGCGAGTGCCACCGATGCCCTGAGCAGCTACTTCGGCCGCATGGGCGTGGCCCAGGACGCCGACGACTGCGACGACTTCGACATCTCTCAGATGACCCTGACGCCCGTCACGTCCACCACGCCCTCCACCAATTCCCGTGAGTCCCCCCCCCCTGCACCACTCCGACTGGTTTTCTGGGTAGTATTCCTGTTTTTCCTACTTTCTACTTCCCTGTCCAAAACTTGGCAAGTAAGAGTACAAGATGGGTGGGGGGGCCACCTGAGGAAGAGGCCGCCGATTTTGGGGAGCGGTCTCACGGAACCGGGTGAGATGAGGTCAGCGCCAGCTGCCCGGTTCGCGAGTGACACGCCCACCAGCGTCGACAGTGGGCAGACCCTCCCACAGCTGGGATCGTGCTCTTGTTGTGTCGCGCTGTGGTGGATCTCGCTCTTATTCCGCAACATCACCCTTCTTCTCTGCATTTTGGAGTACCTGCAGAGAAACCCATATCTGGTTATGTGTTTAGCTTGGGCTGTTATGGCTCCCTGGTTAAACATCAATCTCAGTGTCCAGATGTTCCATTTGTCTTAGCTGGGTGATTCGGATCTGGTTCTGTGGTCCAGTTTGCAAGTTGGGTCTAAGTTTGGTTTCGTGGGAACATAAAGAAGCGAATAGACTGTGGCCAATGGGACCTGAGTTCTGTCACTTTTGTGGCAGCTAGGGCTGCTCTCGTTGCAGAGCACTCCATCTTTAACCTCTCACCCCCATGAATCCTACCTGAAATGATCCAGTGACGGGGTAAACATGACCTCATATCTCGCTGGGCCCTTGCAGACTGGGTCACTACCCCTGAAATGGAGAAGCCTTAATACCTCTGTCTAAATGTCAGGAAATGCCAAGACTCCTACTGGTGATTACCCAGATTATGGCTCATTGAAAGAACCCTTGTAGCTTATTTCAAACGTACTCGTGTTGGCTGCTTTACATACATTTTCATGTCTCCCAAGTAAAGTGAGCTGGGTTATCTGTGATATCCTAAGTCAATTAGGCAGTAAATCAGAGCTTGTGTGAATCAGTGATTTTTGGCTAAATGACAGATGGGTCCCTTATATGGAGCCTGTTAAACTCTACTTATGCTTATTGTCTCAGTAGGATGCAGGACAGCAGGACAGCCCCTGAGAAGGTGTCTCTGGGTCCTAACGTCCACCTCTTTCCTTCCCGTTTAAGCCCCGACCCCGGCCCCTCGGCAGAGCTCCCCCTCCAAATCGTCGGCCTCGCATGCCAGCGACCCCCCCACCGATGACTCCTTTGGCGAGGCCGAGGGCAGTCCAAGCCGGAGCGGAGAGGAGGACGCTGTGAGTATGAGGGTCTTGGGTTCGAGGAGGCGGGTCACAGTGTGGGCCCTGAGATGAAAGCAGGCCTGTTTTTCCAGGATAAAATACACGTGTGGAATGCGTGGGTAGGTGGTTGAGTGAGGGGGGGGGGAACTGCTCTGCCGACCCACAATGCATCAGGCAAACAGCAGATGGAGCTGATAGCTGCTGTCAGACTGGGTCGGCATTAGCTACCGTCACCTCGTAAGTGTCGGACATCTTTCACACCCCCCCATCTCGACATGTTCCTATAGGCAGCTGCTGCTGTAAGTGTCCAATATACTCAACACGCTTGTGTCATTTTTGTGAAATGCTTAGTCTAAATATACTTACTGTCATGTAAGTAAAACTGAAACAAGGATCTGGATTGTGTAGTACCAAAGAAACCTTTCATTTCATGAACTAGCTAAATTTAGCCAACTTAACTTAAAAGATCATTTTTACCTCTTTTTTACTGAAATTTATATTATATGATTTTGTATGCAGAATTTTGGGCATGAAAAGAATGCTGTGACTACATTTAATATGGGTATCTTATTTATGTATAAATATGCTAGAAAGCAAACTGTTTCATTATAAGTGTGCGTGTGTGTGTGTGTGAGGGGGGTTATTTTGACATTGTTGGGACCATTTTTTTGGTCTGTGAATGCAGTCAAAAAACTAAAATAAGTCTTGTATTTTGGTTACTTGAGATTAAGGTTAGGGCTGGATAGGGGTTAAGGTTGTTGTTGTTGTGATTAGAGTTTTCCCCATAGAAATGAATGGCGAGTTCCCACAAAGATATGAATAGAAATGTGTGTGTGTGTGTGTCTGTCTGTGTCTGTGTGTGTGTGTGTGTGTGTGTGTGTATGTGTGTGTCTGTCTGTGTGTGTGTGTGTGTGTGTGTGTGTGTGTATGTGTTCCCACAGCGTCTGTCAGTAGCGGCAGTGTTACTGTGTAATACTCATACTGCTTGTTGTGACAGACATTTTCTTTCGTCTTCTCGCTGATGCTAATGGTCTTATTCTCCGGGGCTCAACCCCCCTTCAGGCAGTGGTGACTCACCTCAGCCGGGATGCCAGGCCGTGGCAGGGCACACAAACACTCCACCCAGGGGGCATTTAGAGATGTCAGTCAGCCGAAAAACAATGTAGCACAAAGGAGCATGCACAGTCCACACAGAGGGGGCCACACGGGGGCCAGGGGCCGCGATTCCCACACTGCTCTGACACACGGCGGGTAGCTATAAATGCTTACAGCTCAAGGCTGTATTGACAGAAGCTTCTGCAGGAATCATATGAGCGTGATTGGGCACCGAGCAGCGCGGCAATGCGGGACCTGTGTTCCATCGTAGGATAAAGGGCGTCTCATTCCAATTTCATGTTAAGTGGCTCCCTGAAGATATTCGTCTGTTTATCATGTCTTTTTGAGTGCGCAATGCAAATGTTTTGAGATGTCGCCTTATTTGTAGGGACTAGAACGTGAAACTGAAGTGTGTGTTTAATACATGACGGATTGATGGAGAGCCAGTCTATTAGATGATGATTTCCGTCCTTCTAGTGAAACTTGTGAAATTGCTCATGTGGAGATCCCTCCATTCCCTGTCTGTCCCTGCTTCTGTCCCATTGATAGTTCCTCTTTTTGTCCCTCTGTCTGTCTGTCCCTGCTTCTGTCCCATTGATAGTTCCCCTTTCTGTCCCTCTGTCTGTCTGTCTGTCCCTGCTTCTGTCCCATTGATAGTTCCCCTTTCTGTCCTTCTGTCTGTCTGTCTGTCTGTCCCTGCTTCTGTCCCATTGATAGTTCCCCTTTCTGTCCCTCTGTCTGTCTGTCTGTCCCTGCTTCTGTCCCATTGATAGTTCCCCTTTCTGTCCTTCTGTCTGTCTGTCTATCTGTCCCCTTTTTTGTCCTGTCTCTCCCGCATTTGTCCTCTCCATGCCCTGTCTGCCTATCTGCTTGCCCCATCCATCTCCCTGCCTATTCCATTTTCTTTCTTTCTTTCTCCATCCGTCTTCCTGTCTGTCCCCTCTTTCTGTCCCTCCATCTGTCCCCCCCCCCCCTCTTTCTGCCTCCCCATCTTTTCCCCGGCTCTCCCTTTCAGATGGTCTCTTGTCTGCTCCTCCAGGCCGGGGGATCTCAGTCCCCCTCCACGAGCGAACCCCTGGCAGAGCCCCCCTCAGAGCCTTCAGCAGACCCCCCCACCAAGCAGCCCGATCCACAGGTCGGTAGCTAGATAGCGCAGGTCAGGGTAGGTATCTGTCCTTCTTCTCCCTCTCCTCCTCCGCCTTGCCACCATCTGAATGAGCACCACCCCGACCCCAGCTTGCACGATCCCTCTGCCCTCCTTGCCCCGCACGTCATGCCACGCCCCCTCGATGTACCTGCTTGCCGTGCTTGGGGGTATGTGCCGTGCTCGTGTGTCCGTCTGTGGCGTCACATCTCTCTCCCAAGCATTCGGAAGGAGGTGAGTATCTGTGAGCGTGCCAGTGAGAGCATGAGTCTTCTGGAGACCTTTTCTGAAAGTGTTTTCAGGGCCGCTGTCAGCGAACACCCACCATGAAACAAGACTGATGCTAAAATGATAGTTTGTGTTGCAGTAGCTTTGGCCTGAACACCATCCTGCTTCCTACAGAAGAAATGATTTCATTAAGACTCTCTATATTATTCAAGTGCTCCTTCTCCTCTGCCCTGACATACTCTCCCTGTCAGAGCTCCCAATGAATTAAAGATGAATTCATTAAACCTGTTAATGTTTAATAATGAAGCTGATTTAATAGATCCCAGCTAGCAAATAAGAGTGTTGGGGGTTTTCGCCATTTAATTGGAACCCACTGAGTCTTTGGTCTCTGTTCACCATCAGAAACGGTGACCCTGGGTACTTTAAAACACACCAGCGCTGCCGTGATTGAATGCGGTGCACAAATTTATTACATGCGTCCGAGCATTCCGGATTTCAAGATGCCTTAAAGGGCCTTGAGTTTCACAACAAGATAAAATAAAAAGAAAATAGAAATAAATATGGCAGGACCAAGCATGAGAAATCACAAGTGTGGAGTTTATGGCAAATCCATATCCGTAGCCTCACTGCAAACTTTAAAGCTTTAACATGGATGTTTTGTGTGTTTATATTTTTATATACGGCTGAACTGTTTAAACGGGCAGTGTGCCGGAAAAAGAGGAGAATTCCTGTATTATTGTTTCAGGCAAAAGCTTCTTTGTATGGGAA